ATTATAACTTGAAATATGTCACTACATTGTAGTGCGAGGAATCACATATGGCAGAGGTTAAGAGCATGGATTGCAAAATTGATTGAATTAGTGTGGGAAGTTGAGCATAGTATCAAAATGCCTGGGATCAAATCCTGTCTTTACCACATATGTGCTCTTCAGCAAGATTTCTAGGTGCTCAATCTAACATGAGATAATTGTAGTTTCTACTTCATAAGATTGTAATGGGGTTAAAGGAGATAATGCATCTTCAACAGTTGGATCTAAATTGGAATCTAAAGGAAGCAAACCACTTAATAATCCCCCTTTGACTTTAGCACCCCCCTTGACTTTGCATCTGTACCCTCATTTTCTATTAGTTGTTTTTTTTTATACTTTCTTCACTTTTGTAATTTTAACTTAAACCCAGAAACATATCTCTTCCTAATGTAATATCACCTTATTGCCAGAGAGGGAGACAAGTCCTTTGGAAAAATCAAGAGACTGGGTTTAATTTTTGCTTTTCACTTGTTGGTTGTGTAAATTTTAGAAAGTCACTTCACCCGGTGAACTTCGGTTTCCTCTCCTATAAAGCAAAAGGCTTATATTATCGCCATGGCTCTTCCAGCTCTAAAATGTAAAGATCTTTTTTTTTCCAGTCATTGATATAAATTTAATCTTACTTGACCATCTCATACAGACTTTCTTCTAAGCTGTTCTCTTTTAATATATTTAACTTTGTCATCTATTTCCTGTCACTTTTCCTTTTCCACAAAAATCCAAATAATGTCATCAATACTTTGTGGAAGTCATGGTCCTCCATGGCTACCACTCTTCCCTGAATGGTTCAACTAACATTGAAAAGATTCTAGTGGAATTGACTCTTAGTGAACCTGTGCTAATTCTTGGTACTCGCCTTGTTCAGTTCTAAGTAACTCTATTCTAGAAAGTTACCAAAGTATGTCGTACTTACTAATTTATATTTATTCTTGACTTATAGTTCCTTGCTCCTCCCTTTGTACCCCCTGACTGTTCTCCCATTATTGATTTATCAAAGATTATTGATTACATAATTCAATGTGATTTCTTTCAGAACTCTGAACTGGAGGCAAACTCAATTACTATGAGTATGAGCTTTCTTTTGCTCTTATTTCCTACTTTGATGTGAGATAACTTTTTCACATTATTGTATTACTATTTTCAGGTTAGGAAACATTCTTATTGAGGAGAATGAAGAAGCAAGAGGGATTAGGCAGGTGTCTTCCTTTTACTCACCTAGAACCAACTTCTCCACCCAGTGTTTCTCTCTTCCCACCACATCTTCATCTAAAACATAATTTAAACTCAAAACAGTAACAATGAGAAAAACCACTTTGCTCCATTTTCACATTCTGCTTCAGTCTTCCTAGTTCTCACAGGTTCATGCCAATCTTTCATGTTGTCCATGGAGATGCCCAAGGACTGAACATACCAACAACACCCATCCCTTGTTCACTAGTTCTTTTAACACTCAAATCCCCCAGTGCACCCTTGCAACCCTGTGGGTTCTTTGAAGATCTTGTCTTTTCTGTCTTGTTGAAACTACTCTGTATTGTCAGAATTATTTTTTTAAGTCTTCCTATTTCTCTTAACCTTTTTAGAGATTCTATCTATAAGCAGTTATCTCTACATTTAAAGCATTTTTGTCTAAAGCATATATACCTAGACCATGTTTTTTCTTCCTCCACTCCTACTAATATTCTAATTGGGTAACTTTCTTCCAAATTTCACATTACTTCCCCATCCTAAAATGGTTCTTATTTTAAAAATGATGTCCAGTGTAGGAGTTCCCCTTATTCTCCTTTTTTTTCTCAGAGAAACCATATGGCCAGTACAGCAAGTCAGGAATATTTCAGATGCCCAGTTTTGGGACAAAGGAGACAGAAAACATCCAGCTAACAACTATCTGAACATCCCCAAACTCTAGTTTTAAGTTTTATGCTAAAAAGAAAGTTCCTGCTCATAGCAAGCAGGCAATTCCTTGTGCATACCATATTGCTTTGGTTCCTCTCTCCTGTTCTTCCAACCTCAGTGTCTTTCTGAGCTTCAAACTTCAGATTCATAGTCACAGAGGAGAGGGTAGACAGGAATTTGTGAGAGAATGACCAAGGTACTCAAAGTGAAAAGATCTGCTTCTAAATCTTGATTTTTGTCCCCACTTTTTAATCTATCATAAAAGTCCATTGTGAGTATTAAAGGAGAACACACACACACACACACACACACATTGTGGTTTTACAATAGAATAAATACCTTTTTTAAAATACATAATCTAAGCCATAAATTTTAGTACTCTCTAGAAATCAAGTTAGGGTGGGTGAGGGGGAAAAAGAAGGAAGATTTATAACCTGATGACTTCTGTGGTGATTACTTTTTACATTAGGCATTTTTACTCTTATAATCCAAGGAACTTAATTTTAAAAGTAACAGCTCACCATGATAAAAGCAGTTCAACACTTTGCTCTATGATTCAATATAGGTGATACAATTGAGATTATGCTTACGTCCTTATTAGTGTTCCATTCTTATGTTTCAGCTCACTGAACATGCCTCCTTTGCCTACAGTAGGTGGTAGTCTCCTTTTGAGATTATGCTTACGTCCTTATTAGTGTTCCATTCTCATGTTTCAGTTCACTGAACACGCCTCCTTTGCCTACAGTAGGTGCTAGACTCCTTATGAGAGAGAGAGAGAGAGAGAGAGAGAGAGAGACTCTTTAAAATGATAGCAACAACTACAATTTTATCCTAACCCACCACCCTCCAAAATGCTACAGCTCACTGTGCCCCTTCCCCATGTAGAGAACCTTCATCATATTGCCAGTATTGCATGCCTAGTTCATCCTCTTGTACAGTCTGCCTTGCTTGTAAAATATCCTGAGATATCCTGGAGAGGTAGGCATGAAGCCACAGGATCCTATCAGCCAAAAGACATGAGCTATTTTCTTAAGCAGCTTCTCATTACTTGTTCCCTTGGAAGAACAGTTTCAGCAGTTTAGGATCCTTTCACTGTGGTTCCTAGTTGCCAGACTATGTCTTCGGGCATTTTTCAGGTGCTTTCATTCTCTGCCTCCCTGAGGGGTTCAAGTCCTGATGAATATAACTTGAAGATGAGAAACTGTAGCATCAAGACGAGATGGCCTCTCCAGTGCTAACCAGGAACTCCATAATCAAGCAAAGCCTCTGCACAGACTCTTATCACCATTCCCACACAGTAGTACATAAACCCAAAGGAAGCCAGGTACTCAGTGTAGAGGTATTGACAGTACTGGCTCAGTGCCATCTCAATCATCTCAATCAGGCTGAGAAAACAAGCCACGTTCCTATGTCTAAATGAATCACTATAGGCCAGGGTCTCCTGATCCTGAGGCAAGAAGAAATAAATGTTATACTAGTCTTCATCCACCCACCCATCCACTGGCTTCTATTCCCCCAATTTTGCTCATCTCCTAAAATGTTTTTTAAAGTCTTTACCAAATGCAAAAATGCAGGAAATATTTGGTTCTTAAGTGTGCATTATGCTGCATGCTAAGTACTAGATTTTCTAACTGTTCTATTTGTAGTTAAGTAAGAGGTACCCAGATTTGAAAAGATACAGAAAACATTTGTGGTAGCTCCGGGCTATGTCGGAAGTATTGGTTGTATAGCAGTCCCGATCTCTAAGAACATGCTGTGGGGCTGTGTGTGAACCTGCCAGGACTCAGATGATTAAGCAGGACTCAGAGGTCTGCTGTTTCACATTTTTTGTGCTTTTTGTTAACAGCTGCCTATTTCAAGCTGTGCTTCCTACATGTCAAATATCAACCTGAAACCATAATTTCTAGAAGGAAAATTTGAAAATACTCTATAAAGTATATAGGAATATTTAATATGGTTTCTGATTAAAGTCCACTTTGTATATTATGTAATTTAACTAAAGTCAGTATAGAGATAGACGTGTTTAGAATATGTGGGGTAGCCAGGAAAAATAA